ACTTGGGCCAGGCGTGCCGCGACGGGATCAGTTCAAACTGGCGATGGTTCTGTTGTTCATTTCGGCGAAGTCCTGTGCCGCACCACCATATGAGTCAGATGAGTCACCTTCAAGATTCGTTTGGGCCAACACGATGTTGATCGATTTTGGGGCGCCTGACACGGGCAGCTGTTTGCAGATGTGTTTATCATGTGTTTTTTTTTTCTGAGAGTTCTTTGGACCTAAAGCGATTGCGTGCCTCGCAGTCGGACAGGGAGCATGCGTTGTCGCCGAAGCCCAACCCTGCAATCCCAGCACGAGAAGGGCCATTGGAAGCTTATGGTCGAGACGCAGGCCGGGCCTACACGAACCTTTGGGATCCGGTTGGAAGCTTGCGATCCGGGTGGGTCCTCTTCTTGCGTCACTAGCGGCTAGCCCATGATGCGGAAGATGGTATAGGCGTGGATAGGAGGTGCCCTTACAATGGTCGTATACTTCAATCACGAGAAGAGATGGCTACTACGACAGCACGACCAGCGAGGCTTGTTGCTGCATCCTCCCGAAGCAGCCACAGCTTTTCAGAGCCTCCGAGCCTGGTCAACACCCAGATGAGGGAGCCCCCATGGAAAGGAGGGGCGCATTGAGCAAGTAGACCATTTTTCAAGAACATCAGGAAGAGCTCGGCATTGTGTGGCCAGTAAAAGGGTGATCAGCTGCGGCAACTGCGGCAACTGCACGGATTTGCTGGGTCAGGGCAGTTGGCTGAGTAACGACTAGAGGCCAATCCAAGATACACCGACCGACTTCTCCTCCTAGGCGAGGCCATGTAGGAGTGTGTTTTGGGAGGCAATCTGTCTTTGGAGGTCTCTGCTGAGACCTTTCGCTTTAGCATGAAAGCTTTTCGTCAGCGTCCACTGACTTGTTGTCCCCACTTCGTGCTCGAGCACTGTCTACTGAGTTGTAGCCCTATCAAAGGACCATCTCTTGGACGTGCCCAAGAAGATGGCAAACAAAGTTGTGTGATTCCCCAATCGACTGCATCACACCTGACCTCTTCTCTGCCCTCTTGATTGGAAAACGGGCCACATTTGCACCACTGTCTACGACAATGCAGCTTGATTCTCCATCAGCGTCCTCCCGATAACCCCTCACAACCTGCACAACAGCATTCTCTGAAGTCTCCTCATGCTGCATCTTCATCTTCGTCTCCTATGTAGTAGTAAGTACACTACTCGAACTCTGTGAAGCTCCTCAAAACTGCTGCTGGACCTCACGTCAAAGATCACTGGCTCTTCAATTCGTTTGACTGTGGCCTTCGACTCTGAACCACTGAAGCTTGCTGTCCCCACTGAAGCTCAGCATTCAGCAGAGACAACTCGTCTGGATTGTATGGCCGGAGGACGTGGGGTACTGAAGATCCAACATCACTGGCCACATGGATCACCATTGTGACTTCGCATGTTTTGCAATGTGGCCAGGTTTGCCGGCAGGTGAAACACGTTGCCACGCCTTTTGCCCTTTCCTTTCTGGTCTCCATCGTTTTCTTTCTGATCTGCTTTGCCTTCCTTGCCGTTGCCATGTTTCCTTTTCCTTTGGCGTCTCTGCCCTTGCCTTTACCTTTCTGGTATTCACCAACCCCGTCCACCTCCATAGGCATTGGGCCCTGATACGCGTTTGAAGTCGACATCATTGATGTATTCCACTTTGCTAGCTTCTATCCCACTGCCGGACCTCCTCACGAATACAGCCTTCACACTGTCCCCAATGGTCAAAATGAAGTAGCTCTTCAGCTGTCCTCCAACACATCTAAGGAGTATTGCTGACTTGAGTTCCCTGCCGTGCCATGCTTCACTGTCTCAAAATCTTCCTCCAGGTCCTGGCTGCAGAGGCTGACCCATGTTGAAAGCTGGACAGGTGTTTGCAGCACCTGTCCGCAACGCCAAACTCCTTGCTTTGGAATGTAGCTTTGAGGGCGTTAGGTTGAGTTGACACCAAGCTTTAAATCCCTTCGACCGTTCAACAGCCTTGATGACCTGCAAAGACCGTCCTCTAAGCAAACTTGCCAAAAGACCGTAAAGCTTGTTGTCCTTTTTTCTTTTAGCCGGCCCTTACTCAACTGAGTAGGCGCCTACTTAAATAAGTAAGGGAGTAAGCTCCTGGCTATTAAAGCTCCTAGCTAGGACGCAGGACAGCTCACGCTTCTTCAGGCGGGGCGGCTCGCACTATTTTCTTGGTTCCTAGTAGGAACAAAGACCCAAGACCACTCGAAAGGCTTTGATCTCTCCCTCCTGATTCTTATGCTCGAGAACAGAAGGCTTAGCCAGCAGCTTCGACCAATCGGTTGAACCTTCTCCTTTCTTCTCTAACACTTTCTGGACTGCGTTTGCCTCTTCAGCTGCTGCTTGTGTTGACTTGGTCACATTCTCTAAAACTTCTTTCAACTCCTCCATTCTCTTTCTTTCTTCTCAACTTCTCCTAGATTATGCCCTTGTAACAAGGTACACCTAGGTCCAGTGATTGTTGTATTGGGTTCTTCTTTTGTACTCCTTCCTTTGTCCTTTGCCAATGTTCAACCCCACTGCTCAATGCACGCAACGCGACCAATGCGGACCAATGCACAACTCGACCAACGTACAATGCTTCCACAATGCACTGTTGCTCAATGTAATGTTCAATGTACGGTGTCAACCAATGTTGTGGAACACTCAATGCTCAACTAACTCTATGGCAGCCCGTGGACACCCGGTAGGAAAACATGGTTTTGGTGTCTCGTAGCTCCCCAAGGAGTAGCCTGGATCACAGCAGCGCTACCATGCGCACTCTTTTTGGACAGTGCTTCGGTAAACTGTACGCACAAATTATTCTTGAGAGGTCTTGGGCTGGCAGAGTGGGATTCCCAACGAGTCTGTCTAGATTGTTTTTGGAGGGCCCCCAAGGAGCTTGTGCACATTGTTTCTGTTGATTTTAGCCTGGTTGCTGTAAGATGCTGTAAGTGTTTGGCTGATTTATTTAAAATGCTTGGAACAAATGGCACTGCCAGGGCCTCCCGTTCATTTGTTCGTGGTTCTATGCACGGACCGCGCAGTGCACACGTTCGCACACGCTCGCAGCATCGGGCCGCACAGCCACACAGCCAGCCACACAGTCTTGGATTTCTACAGCCTTTGATGTGGTTCACGGATTCCACTACACCTGTCAAATCAAGGATTAGTTTTTCTAAACTTTTTAAACATCCTGAAGTGGGAGAACCCGACTGTATGACTTTCTGGGCAAGACATAGCAAAAGCCTGGACCACACCTTGTCTACTTTTCGCTGTGTTTTATGGAGCTGGAAACTGCGTGCCAGGATACTTCCGCTCAGTTCGCCAAGAGATAAAAGATCTCGAGGAGACATGGCCTGAACCATCAAGCTTCGATCAGGTTTCTCCAGCCATGTTCCAGTCATAGCTTGCGAGACCACATCACAAATGATTCAAACGATCGAAAAAGACAGCAACTCCAAGATCATTCATATAGGAATTGGCTCAAGGATTGAAAGCGAGTCAGGACCGAAATGTGTTAAACGCACAAGCTTGGGTTTGTACGATGTTATCATGTTTTCCGCTCAGGAGGAACAGAGGCTGGACCATTTGAAGAGTGAAGTGAATCAGCTGACTGCCATCGAAAAGAAAGAACGCGCAAAGGCCAGTGATCGCATCATCTTCGTTATGTTCAATTTTGCAGGTCAGTGTTCAAGAAAGCGAGTTCCCCAAGTCAACATGGGGAAAAAACAAACTTGAAACACGATGTTTATAATGCCAATTGGTTCGGGCGAGACACATCTGTGTACCGTAGTTTGCCATGACCTGTCATATTGCAAACATGATCCCAGAAATCCATTGGCGGGTTCAGGTCCAGACCAAAACCTTTGGGTCAAAGTCTCAGAGTTCATTGCTAGATTCAGACCCTTCAGAGGTTATATAGTTTCACCAGGATGTTCTTTGCTAATTATTTTACGAAAGGGAATGTCTAATTGATTCTAATTGTGGTGGGTGCCGAATTCGACTTGAATGGACCGTTCTTCCTAAAAGTATGCTTGTTCTTTGTGTGTTCCACTTCGAAGTCACCACATGTAAGACATGCGACAATCTGATGCGGATACAATTTGTTTGATTGCAAGCCTCTATAGGGTCCAATACATACTCCAGAATTGACCCTTCGACCTACAGCTGGGTTTGGAGGGGGGATTGGTTTCTCACTCCAAAATTTGTATTTGTTTGTATTTGTAGGTGTTTCCAATGTTTCCACTATACAGAATTGGCCAACTTCGGACCCTACCCACAGCGCGAGGACGTGAAGGCTCAGCTGAAAGCCATGGAGCAGACCACTGGGCCTTGCGCGGCCATCATGGGCCTTGCGCGCCAAGCTGTCGGCACTGCCGGCCAAAGGCTGAGGCGCCAGGCCAGCTTCCTTTAGCGAGCGTTCCGGTGGTGACCACCCGCGGGGCCCGTACTGGGACATCCAGAGACGAGTTCTTTGCAATAAAAGACGAAGAAAGACCAGTTGAAGTGTAAACGAATACGTATTCCACGCCCTTGGACGTGAGGGTGGTGAACAGCTTTGTGAGAGATGGAAGCAAACGAAGTTTGGAGAGATGAGGCTCCACCCGTGAGGGTGGTCCCACTAGCGGGTCTATCAGGTGGAGCAGCTGTATGCAGCTGTTGGTTGTTCCTTGGTGTAAATACTACCCAAAGAACAACTGGCCCACTGCCAATGCGTTCCAAGAAAAGTGCGTTTCGGCGCAGCTGACATTGCCGGTTTTGGAAGTCTTGCGGTAGCTAGTTGCAACATGGAGGTCCATGTGCCTCAAGAGTTGTAATATGTTGTAATATCTCTCCGGTGGAGCATCTCGAAAGTGGTAACAAGGTGTTTGTACTGTACCATCTACTGGACCGTGCGGTTTCTCAACTTGCCAGTCATCAACTGTTAAACGGATGCGCTTATTGGTCATTCTCTTAATTTAGACTCTTTAGATCTCCCAGGACTGGGTCTTTCATGAACGTCGATCTCTTCAAAATGCTTCCAAGCTCATCGCCAGCCTTGGGAACTCAGAAACGACGCCGAGACTGCGCCAACTCACCGAACCAAGTCACCACCGAACTCCGCGGCGACAATCCGTTCCTCCCAGGCATGGAGGGCCCGCTGACGACGGACAACACTGGCTTCTCCGCCGCCAAGCTGGCGAGGGACGCCGACCCGACCGGGCGGATTTCCGGTTTGGGGTTCGGTTTCGGGTGGAGAAGAATGGAATGGATCAGGTGAACATGAATGGTTTTGATCTATTTGTTTGTTTAAATGGACGAAGAGGGGCCATGGAACTGCGGAACCAACTTGATGATCGTAAGGTGGAAGACAGGATGTTGCTGGTGAAAGGGTGAAGAGCAGCTTCAAACATGTTGAAACCGGTAACAAGGACGCTACGAACGGGGCTCCTGGCCTTACTATGAACGTAACAAGAAGCTACGCACGTAACAAAGGGCATCGCTACTAGCCGGTGGGCGTGGAGAGCCAGCGAGACTCGTCGAATTAGAAGTGGCTGCGAAGCGCGGGTTCGGGTCACTTCGGGTTCGAGTGCGCTGCAGTTCCCATCCGCCACAACTCTCTCGCCGTTTGTGCAGTTTTCTCGTTGGTCCACAGAGAGTGTCCGCCAAATGGATTGCAAGGGAGGGCTGAAAGAAGATTTGAATTGGGCATGCGGATGAAAAGTCATGAGCTGGGACTCTTCCCCCCAAATGGATTCCTGTTCCTCAGGACAAGCACAGAAACTCACGTGAGGGGTTGCTTGGACGAGATGTTCAGTCGAATGCCAAGACCGGTTAACAACAAGCCGTCCAGAGAAGGTTGGAGAGGCCTGCCCCTACTTAGACCTTCGGAGACCGTTAAGAGGGAAGAGGGGTGCCGTTTGTGAGCTTCTCAATCCATTCTTATACTTATTCGTCGCAAAATAATACTTCTGAAGTGCATTGAAGTGCCATAAAAATATCACAAGCAACGTGTCACAGCGTTGGTGTTCCAAATGGGGCGTTGGGTGATGTTGGACGTTTTGGGTGATGTGTTCTCCAAATGAGAAAACACCCGACCAGTTGGTCTGCAAGGCCCTTCCTCCCAGTGTGAGTTTGATGCAGGCGCATGACTTGGAGCAGTTGGAGTTTGTGGCTGCCACTGATGAAGGCGTTCAGATGATGTGCTCAATTGAACATGGCTAACTAGCAGCTATAATTTTTGAATCTAGCGCAATCTGTTGATACAACTGCATTTCCGTCCCACAAAAGGCCGCGAGACGCCCTAAAGGCACGAGCGGCTTGAGCCGTGTTACATGCTTTATGCAATTCCACGTGGACACCTGCAACATTGCTGATCCTTTGACGTCACAAATCTGAAGGTGAGACGAAGGAATGGTGAAGAGCAGTGCAGCCTCGAACCATTTTTCGTCCAGAGGACGTTGGAGCAACGGCGACCACAAGAGCAGTACCCCAAACCATGTGGAACTGACATTTCGACCACGAAAAGGCAAGGTCCCAGTGGCTTTTTGTTTGACGGCTCCGCAGATGGTCGTTCCATCAAGCCCATCAACTCCACACGTTACCTGCAAGTCAAAGCAAAGTATACAAGTTAGACATGAAGTCTCGCAAGCAGCCATCACACCAGACAGAAGAAACCTTTAAGATACGCTTTAAACCTCTTGCAGGTGTACCATGACCATATACTAGTAAAGCTCCATGCAGATTCCTGCATGCGGAATCAATCGGGTGTGGCATGCTTAGATGTTTGGCTTTAAAAAAACAATTAAATAGCACAGAGCTTGACTGTTGGCCACAAGACATTTTGCAAATGTTGACAGAGCGACACAGGTTTCCTGTTTGGCCAGGTGCTGCGACTGTCATGGAGGCATGCACTGCTGGCAGAGATAGAGTTGCAACAACTTTGAATTGAGAGTCGCTGCTGCAGATCCTGGAAAGGACAAGGGCAACTGCACACAGCTTTAGATCATACTGACTTTTTCTATTTTGACGATGGTTTCCCAACAAGATGTGAGTCTGTGCAGTTGTCCAAGCGGTTTTCACCCGAGTCACGCCCAAGTCAAAGGCCGCCCCGACACCCCTCGCAGCGTGTTGCCTCGGACCCCCACGGCCCGGCGCGGTGCGTCCGTGCAGCATGGCAGCAAAGAAGCGCCGGCGACTCGGTCTGGACTTGGGGTTTCATCTCCAATGCCCCTGCTGCTACCGCCCGGGTGTGCCCTTTTGTGAGAACTGCGACCCTGAGAGCAGCGCTGAGCGCTTACAAGGCCTTCGAGCTTTGATGAAGGCACATCACTTAGATGCCTACTTCGTGACAAGTCAGGACGGGGTCATCCATGAGATTGGAGGAGTCCAAATCCATCAGAAATACCAGGAATTCGAGGCATGTGTTGTACCAGCTTTGTAGGTGGTCAAGACGCTGAAAACTCCGCCTACACTGTAGAGACACCAATGACCACATTTAATGAGCAGGGGACCTCCCAAACCACTCCGTAATATCGATGAGTAGGAGAGGGTAGGTTTTTTCTGGAATGAAGGTGAAAGGAGAGAATTGGAGGGTAATGTTGCTTTTTTAGCTTGGAACATGTTCATGTTTTTTTGTTTAGGTTTCCACTATAGAAGTATACATATGCATATATGCTTGCACCCAGAAAAGATGTCTTTTTTCGTGTCTCGACGGATAACAGAAAGACGCAGCAAGTTCGCAAAAAAAATACTTCGAGTGATCCCCACCATGACATTTCAAAACAACCACGTTGACATCACCGTCGTTGTGTATTTCGCAACCCAGGTGCTTGTCAGTCCAACATCTCAATTACGCTAAACTCTAAACAGTTTCCCTGTCCTGTCGCATAACTCAACCAAGCTATCACAACCACTCCAGAATAGACTTGTATTTTTACCGCAACCCACACATCTGCAGAGACACGTTCATGATGACTTTGTGTCTATCATGCGCTTCTCTGTGTGCTGTGATTCTGTTGTGATTGTGTTTATGGTTGTGTGTTTGTGGTTATGTGTTGTCGTTGTATTTGTCGCTGTGTTTGTGGTTGCGTTTGTGATTGTGTTTGTGGTTGTGATTGTGGTTGTTTTTGTCGTTGTGGCTGTAGTTGTGTTTGTGGTTCTGTGCTTGTCATATGTGTTTGTGATTGTGTTTATGGTTGTGTTTTTGTGGTTGTGTGTTGTGGTTGTGGTTGTGATTGTGTTTGTGATTATTTGTTTGTGATTGTGTTTGTGGTTGTGTTTGTAGTTGTGTTTGTGGTTGTTGTGTTTGTGGTTGTGTGTTTGTGGTTGTGTTTATAGTTGAGATTTGTTGTTGTGTTTGTGGTTGTGTGTTTGTTGTTGTGTTTGTGGTTGTGTGTTTGTGGTTGTCTGTTTGTGGTTGTGTGTTTGTGGTTGTGTGTTCGTGGTTGTGTTTGTGGTTATGTGATTGTGGTTGTGGTTGTGTGCTGTGGTTGAGGTCCGGCAGGGAACACTGGGCGTGGATGTTCGTGGTTGAGGTCCGGCGGAGGAGGACGACGTGGAGGAGGATGCGGAGGAGAAGGAGGAGGAGGACGAGGAGGAGATGGTGCTATCGTAAAATCTAACAACCCTCACCTGACAGGTGGGGGAAAAAACACCAGACGCCAATAAAACAGAGCGGAAGTGACAAAAATCGACACCAACATTGCCACCCCAACAAAGATGTCCTTCGCGGGGTCTAAGTCATTAAAGTAATTATGCGTTTTGGGGAGTTGTTATTTTGCGTGGCGGTTAGATTATCAGTCACAATCATGTGCGCGTCTACAGTGTCGGGATCAAACAAACCTTGCAGGATGCGCATGCTTCAGAATATGTTTGCTCCGCAGACGAACGGAGAAGCTTTTTGACGGGATTCTCAGGCAGTGCAGGCAGCGCGCTGGTCACTGCTGAGAAAGCGCTCCTTTGGACAGACAGTCGTTATTTCCTGCAAGCTGAAAAGCAGCTGGCAGGAACCGAATGGGTGCTGATTCTCATCCTTGTTAGGCAGAAACTTTTTGACTTCTTGTGAAAAGATCATGTCATGTATCAGATTTCTAGAGTGTACTAGCATTAGCATTGCAAAAGTGTTGTGTCAGTGTTGTGTTGGTGTTAGTGTTGTGTCCCGCTGCGACAAGGATGCGTCAGTTGCAACCTGGCGTACCAGAGTTCTCTGACTGGGCCCTCGAGCACCTCAAGGGTAAATGTGTTGGAGTAGATCCTCGTTTCATTTCAGCAGAGACCTCAGAGGACTGGACATCAAAGTGGGGTTCATCTGTTCAGTTGAAGGAAATAGGCACCAACTTGGTGGATGCTATTTGGACAACTCGTCCAGAAGATCCTTGCAATGCTGTCCAAGTACATCCCTTGAACCTAGCGGGTGAGACAATCGAGAGCAAGCTGAAACGGCTACGAGAAGCAATCAGTGCCGAAGGAGCTAGTGTCATTTTACTTAGCGCATTGGATCAAATAGCATGGCTCTTCAATCTGAGAGGCTCAGACATTGAATACAATCCAGTGTTTTTTGCCTATGCCGCAGTGTTTCAAAACACCGCCATACTATTTCTTCGGTGCTTGGATGCAAGTGATGGCCTTCCGGATGAAGTGCTTGGCCACCTGAAAGGGGCTAGTGTAGAGGTAAGGCCTTACAAGCAATTCTTTACGGAGATTGCGAACTTACTGAAGCCAGAGGAGAAGGTTTTTCTGGAACCGTCATCCTCCTCCTTGGCCTTGATGGGTTTGGTCAGACATGACCTCAGAGTCACAGGGATTTCCCCAGTTGAAAAATTTAAGGCCTGCAAGAATTCAGTGGAAATTGAGGCTTTGAAGCAAGCATGTAAAAGAGACTCGCTGGCACTTTGCGAGCTTTTTGCCAGTTTGGAGGCAAAGTTGTCCCTTTCGGAAAGTGAGCAAGTGCCAATCACAGAAGTGGATGTTGACGAGATGATGAAAGACTGTCGCCGGAGGCAGCCCTCGTACGTGGCTGATAGTTTTCCAACCATCTCATCCGTTGGTTCCAACTCTGCAGTGGTGCACTACCAACCAGAAAGAGACAGTTGCAAGCGTCTTCTAGCAACAGAGATGTATTTGATCGATACGGGTGGACAATACAAGGACGGAACGACAGATGTCACGCGTACCATGCATTTTGGATGCCCCACAGAGGAGCAGAAACGCATCTACACCAGAGTCCTGCAAGGTCACATTGCATTGGCAAGTGCTGTGTTCCCAGAGGGCACCCCGGGGCTCTTGTTAGATGCCTTTGCTAGGGGGCCCCTGTGGAAGGATGGGTTGGAGTATGGCCATGGCACAGGGCATGGCATTGGAGCCTATCTAAATGTGCATGAAGGACCTGCGCAAATTGGTGGCGGCGCTGTCCCCGGAGACAAGATTCTGTGCAACGAGCGTCGGAGGAGGATCTTTTTGATGCCCATCCAAGCTGGATTCTTCCTCTCAGATGAGCCTGGTTGCTACAAAGATGGAGAGTTTGGGGTCCGGATTGAATCTGATATTTTGGCAACCCCAGCAGAAACTCCGTACAAGATGTCCACACGTCGCTTCTTGAAGTTTGAGTACTTGACATTGGTTCCGATGTGTCGAAAGCTGGTGGATGTGTCCTTATTGTCTGTGTCGGAGCAGCAGTGGATTGACAGCTATCACGCTCGTGTTTGGGAAGAGCTGAGAAGCTCTTTGCACAGTGAGGCGCAGAATTGGCTTTGGGAAGCGACTCGCCCGTTGAAGGCGTGAGAAGAGCCTGAGCGTGATCGGTCTGCCCAAAGTGGAGAAGAAAACACGCGACATGGTGCAGTTTACTTGCAATATCTTCCGGTCGTATGGGGGACATGGTGCTGCAATGTGCTCAAGAGTCTTTTAGGGCTTATTTAAGACTTGTAGAGCATATCAGAGCCGGCCGTTGCGACTCCGCTTGCACACTCATTACTATGAGCCAATGGCGCAGGCATTGCCAGCCTTTCGACGACTGTCCGAAGGCTTTCAAAGGTCCGGGGCCTAAGAAAGACCGATCGTCGTCTTCCAAAGACGTCCCCCCCCGCTCTCTCAGATTAGCGGAATCTGGAGCCAGGCTCCCTTGCCCAAGTTCTCCTCGTTCCATGTTCTCGAGCCCCTACTAGCGTTCTTGCTCCGAGTAGTGAGACCAGGAGCCCCTAGTAGCGTCCTTGTTCCTAGTAATTAGCGATGCCCTTTGCTCCTAGTAGCGTCCTTTACCCCCCTCCCTAACGATTGTTGTGAATCGAACGCCGGCAAATATGGATCCAGGTGTTGATCGCAGTCGCCGTAGAACCCTGGAGCCAGGCTGTATGGAGAACCGGATTTTTGTGGGAGTTTGTTTCCAGTCGTTTGTGTGACTTTTCTCAGTATAGTATATAGTATTGCTTTTGCTTCGGTTGTTGCTTTTGCTTCTGCTTTTGCTTTGGCTTTTGCTTTCGCTTCTGGATTTTTGTTTGCTTTTGCTATACGTTTTGTGAGCCATCCGAGGGTTAAACTTTAAGGAGGAAGGAGCCGGGGCCATTCCAA